CTCTTGTCTTTGTTGCGCGTGTGCACCTAACCAGTACACGTCTCCCCTTCCCCACACGTACGTGCCGGCCGACGGCCTCCCCTCTTCCTTCTCGTGGACCGACGTCGGGGGTAGATCGTTCGTCACGAAGAACCTCAACCAGCACATACCCCAGTACTGCGGCTCTTGGTAAGCGCTACTTTGTTGACAAAAGCAATATGATTCTCAACCACTGCGTATCTCCAGGTACTGCGGCTCCTAGTAAGCTATATACTTCCAAGAAGTTAGGTTTGCAGCTCCACTTGATGCGATTCTCATCCACCACTACCCGAGTACTGCGGCTCCTGGTAAGCGAAATTACTCCGAAGTAGTTAAGTAACTCCTCGATGCGATTCTCAACAAGCGCACCTCCAAGTGCTGCGGGTCCTGGCAAGCTAAATTTCTATTATAGGTAGTTTCGTTAAGTTACCCAGTGGTGTGGATCTCAACCAGCACATCTCTGGGTACTGCGGCTCCTGGTAAGCGAAATACTTTGAGGTAGGTAAGTTGACACAACTTTGATGCGATTCTCAACCAGCACATCCCCGAGTACTGCGGCCTCCTGGTGAGCTAAGTTTTCTTGCTCAACCCGTAGCATGTGACTACTACGGTGCTGATTCTCACCCAGGCATCCCCAAGTACTGCGGCTCCTGGTACGTTAATTTTTTATTCTTGAACAATCCCCTTCTTCATGGACTACGGGCCCAATTCTCGGCCAGCACGACTGCCGCTCCTGGTGCTACATATTTTACCCGTACCGTGTGGCTTTGGTCTAACATGAGCTCGCCGTCTATTCGTTGGCCATCGGTGATCGGTCCAGAACACTGGACGCGTGGTCAATGGTCTAGCCGCTAAGGCATGCAGAATATGAGCACGCCGCCTATGCGTTGGCCATCGGGGATCGGTCCAATAGGAAAACACTGGTGCCCCGTCGTCTCGAGGACGTGTGGTCAATGGTCTAACGACTACAGCACGCACGGCTATGAGTAACCCCACCCCCCGCCCCCTCACGTATGCCCGATCCGATGGCGCTTGCCCGGACCATAGCTGGGCCCACGGAGCCCTCAGCAGCCTCGCGGACCGCATCAAGATCATGCGTGGGGGGCACGGCATGGACATCAACCTCTCGATCCAGGTTTGTCTGTGAGGGTGTGTCCTCTCATTCTCTTGCAGCCAGTCGGGCGCCGTAGTCGGTGACCGTTTACCTCTTCTCGTATCCCTACACAATGCCGGGGGGACGGAGCGGTGTGCTGCCTGGTTTTCGCTGGCCCAGGCTCTATGTTTCACTTAGCAAGGATGAACCAAAAGGTTATTGTCATCTTTCGTTGCGTTTGCTGGGGGGCGGGGTGTGCTCAAAAGTCGTGCATGCCGTTTGTCATGGTTAGACCATTGACCTCGCATCCCTAAAAAGACGGGACGGAGCACGCCGCGTTCTCACCGGACCAGGCTCTCACATCACCAAGCGCGAAGCACCGTCAGGTATCCGGCGAGTCGCATGAAGGGTGCGCTGCATCCTGCGGGGGTGTTCGGGGCGGGCGGGGGATGTAATGATTTTGGGTTTCGTTGCCGACGAGGATCGTGGCGTAACTTTCGTTTTTTTTTTTCTTTGTCATACCCCTTTTGTGTTGTGACCATCGGTCTTTCGCACCTTTCGCAACAGTTTCCCGGCAAGCACCAGTCGGGGTGGGACAGGCTGGAGGATAGGCGACTCACACACTCCGCCTGCCTTTCTTCCTTGATATATTTCGCTAGAAATGTAGGCCTTGTTGCGTTTGTTTTTCCCTTAAACTGCGCCACCGAAGTCGCATGGTCCTGCCACGGATGTACCCGCAT